CCAGCTTCCCCTTGCTCCCAGAAATGCCCCCTATGCCCATTGCCAACTCGTCTGGAATCACCCCTCACATATCTAACTTCAGCCTCACCTCCCTGTTCCCCGAGATTGCCACAGGCATGCCCACTGACGGCTCAGCCATGCCCATGTCTCCCCTGCTGTCGCTCTCCAACACCTCGTCTGCCGAGTCAGGCAAGCAGCCAAATCGTCCTGCCCACAACATCAGCCACATTCTGGGCCACGACGGCAGCTCTGCTGTGTAAGGAGAGCTCCTGCTGCAGTTAGAACTGGTGTTCCAAGTGAAAAGTTTAATTTTCTGTTTGAACTTGCGTTCCTCTTTTTAATGTTCCAGTTCAGAAAATATTGGAAGAGCACTTGATGAACTGTCTCTAAGATGATTTAACCAACACTTACTCCTGTTGTTGGTGTTGACACAATTTTTATCACATTTTGGCGTATGTATGATGTCAGTTATAGATTGTAATATGATTTAACGGGGGAAATGGAAATACGGTCCTTTTTCAAGCCTTTTTTGTTTGTTTGTTTGTTAAACTGATTGGTTATAAAACAAATTTTGGTTTAGAACTTGAATTCAATGTATTCTGGATCATTAAGAAACATACAGTTACCTACCAATGTAATTTACTAACTTATATCAGGTTGTACTGTACCAAATCAGTTTTCCAAGAGCTATTTTGTAAATACCAATGTTTCATATCAGAATTGTTAGATTATGTATCTAGTTGTAAATACAAAATTGATTAAAGTTTATAAGGAGAACTTTTTTTATTTGCTGCCAACTGGAGAGCTGCGTTCGTGTGTTTCTTAATGTACTCGTGCCACTAGGTAGTACTTGAATATATGGAAGAAGATTGGTGCAACTGAAAAAGTGTTCAGGCAGAATTCAGACTTCTTTTTAAAGTCAGCTTTAAACTCATAATTCTGAGGAAAAAAGAATTCTGAATTTAAAATCAGAATTGTGAGGAAAAAAGTAAGAACTCAAATTTGTTTACAAGGGCCTCTTCCAGGAAATCGCAAACTACCCTTATATCTTTTTTCTGTCTTTGAGATTTGTTTCAAACTCCAGAAGTGGAAGAAATAATGAAAGTGGTAGGAGTGTTATCTTCATTCCAACAAGAGTGGATTTTAAACTGAAATTGCCACATCTGTAGAGGCAAATTACACAGCAAATTATTGTTCACAGTAAAACTGTTAGAATATGTAAATGAGATATACAAGGGTTGAATTTAGTTTATTGTTTTAATCTGTCCTGTTGGTGTTTGTGTCTGGTTTGGCACCATGAAGATAAATGAGAACACTCTACTGGAGGGACACAAAGTGGTGTTGGTTCCTTACAATGAAAACCACATGGCCAGGTAATATACAGTACATTAACACCTGATCAGTCTTCTTACACATGAGAAGCCTGTCACTTTTTCTTTTATTTTCCTCTGCTGATATCTTTAGTGATGAGAGTTTAAATGTCATTTCTTTACTATCAATACTTAAACATGGCAGATGGGTTTTATTTTGACTTCTAAATAAGTCTGCAACTAATAATAATGTTGAGAAAACAATCTCATCGCAAGTTCCACTTAGCAGCTTTTCTGGAGCTTTCGATCAAATCATACGGTCTCATTTGTCATGGAGCATTTGAAAGCTTTTTGTCCATGCTGGCACAAGGTGAAGAAATAACTTGGGACAGGGACACATCTGGCCCAGCTGTCAATACAAGCTTTTGCTCCTTTGACAGTTTGATGTCTCTTATCCACCTGTTTACACTCTTCAGGTATCATGAATGGATGAAACGTCCTGAGCTGCAGCATCTGACCGCCTCAGAGCCACTGGAACAGGAGTACGACATGCAGGGGAGCCGGAGGGAAGATGATGACAGTAAGACTAAGATGATGCAGTAAATGTACACACAGAACATGAAACCAGCAAGCTGGGCAATAAGCTGGTACATAGATCCACATACATGCACACATGCTCCGTGGGTCTAAGACCCTTAATGCTATTTGTCTAGTGAAGTACATCATGAAGGGTCAGGGGGAGATAGTATCCTCCCCACAATCGGTAGCTGAAAACAGAAAAGATTGAAGAAGATTTGCTTTTCCGACAGGTAATATAAGACACTGACTATAGGGCTAAGATAAAGATAGACGCCGTGGCTTCGTGATGGTGTCCTCCTGAAACAGCAAGCTGGAAACACGGCAGAAGAGAGAAAGGCGTGATGAAGAAAGCAGAGGGTTACCTGTGGTAGAGGTTAGGAAGGAGGTTAGAGAGGACAGAGAAGATACAAGATCCGGTAGGAGGTTAGAGAAGATACGAGATCCCCTTCTTTTTAAGAAAATATCTTGTGTTTTGTAATGTAGTGAAATGTTTTTTAAAGCTAGTAGATAAAGATACCTTTCTCTGTTGTCAGCTTGCTATTTTCAACACTTCCCAAAAACAAAAACCAACACAAAAAAACAATCAAAACACACAAAAATGACAAAACACAATGTACTCGCTTTAATAAAACACAGTTGTCATTAAAACTCCCATTGCATCATATACTGAGAAACCTGAATGAAGAATGATATAGCCCTTTAATGAATCTTATCTGTGTAAAATGTGCATTTAAAATGTGCACTGGTGAGAGTTGATGAAGGATCATGGAGTGTAATAGCTAACGTTACTCAAATAGGTGAAAGGAGCATGAGTTAATGTGATTTGAACATTAAAATGCACATTTATGCAAATTCCTATCAGACCATCTACTCTATAAGTATAGCATTTTTGCTTTGAATTGTTCTAGACTTACTGTGTTCAAGAGCAGGTCTGTTGCAGAGTCACAGACAGCAGCATGAACATAATGTCCCACCATCTAGGCTATAGTAACCACTATTATTACTACCATTACTACCACTTATTACCATTATTACTGCTCCTAGAGGCAGTAATAGTTAGAAATCCCTCTCAAGATGTTGATCTCATTCAGACATTCAGCTCATTGCTTGACAGTCCATTTATATTTTGCAGACTCACAGTATAGTAGCAATTTGTGTTGATTTACCGTATGGTCTTCTAATGATAGTTTTCCATGTTTCTCTCTCTGACTGAAATTCAGTTTGATAACATTTGCAATGGTTGATATCATTTTAACTTAAGAGTTGGTAACTTTTTTCCAGGTGGGATTCATTACATTATTAATGCAGTGTTTTAAATTTGTTTATTCTTTTATCTTTGAGTTTGCTTTGGGGGCTTTTACTTGCAAACAGGTTGGTGGGAAGGGGTCAGAGGGGTCAGAGGTCCTAGGGTCAAAGGTTAGAGCTCATCCAAGACTAACTAGTGAATTTGTCCATTTTGTGGTTCAGGAATAATAATTTTTTCTTTTCATTTAAGAAGTTGATTCACTGTATTGTGCTTTTTTGTCCTTGACAGATTGAATGTGGAAAAACCACGAGACAAGAATGAGGCACATTAGGTATGGAAAGCCAAAAAGGCAGAGTTGTTTGCACATTGTGTGTCATTATTGCGTAACAATTTTGACATATTATTAACCCGTAAAGTACACGTTAACAATGTTAAAAGTTGATCTTGACCTTTATGAGCAGGCTGTTCCCAATTAGCTATGGACAAGTCAGGCTAAAGCACTTCTGTAAACTGAAGCACTGCCCCAACACCACTTAACAAGGGCACGGTCATCTAAAAAGATTATTCAGCTGTTTGTTGTTGTTTTTCATACATACAAAATTATATTATAAAAGAAAATGACTGACTCAGCATCCACACACAATAACATTCAATCACAGTGTTAAGAATGGCTGCAGAGTTGTGTGCAAACTGAACACACCATACAGTTGTCTCAAGAAACGATGCATCAAACACTGATCAATTTCAGTTCAATTTTATTTACATGCAATAGTGCTCCAGCATGTGCAACCACAAAATGGCTCCACTTACAAAAGGAGGTGTACAGTATAGTCAGGATCTCCTTCATTGGAAAGGTCTCTGGTAAAGACTAATACTTATGCACTGACCTGTGAAGGACAAATAATACTGACACCGCTGTCACGACTCCCTCACCTGACTGTCATTTGGTATCCAGCAAACAAGGAAACGCAAGTAGTTGCAGTATAAAGTTCAGCTTATCAACTGTAGTTTCCAGAATCTCTCCCATTCGGTGATAAAAATAAATAACTATACAATATATAATCTCTTGTATACTACTGAAATTGAATGATTTATGTTCCTTACTTGTTAATAGTTTGTTAATAATGAACAATGCATAATACATTTGTGTTATTGCTATACAAAATGTCTTGAGAATGTGATCCAGCAACAGCTAAACAGCGGTGAAGCGCCTCATAATTACAGCATCGAAGTAGCTTGAATGGTTTTTTTTTTCTGTTGAACATAAAGCTAAATACTTAAGGTCCAAACATTTGGGATGAAGCTCTAGGAGGAAGGTTGTGAGGAGTGATGAGGGTCTAGGCATGAAGTGCTGAAATGAAAGGAAGCCCCTGATCATCTTCACATGAGGAATAATGTCTGAAAATTATTTCCCTGCACAGGAAATGCAGACATCTCAGCATAACCATGTGGGGCCTCCTTTGTCCAAGATGCATTTATGTGTGGGATGTACAGTGGGTATGGAAAGTATTCAGACCCCCTTAAATTTTTCACTCTTTGTTATATTGCAGCCATATGCTAAAATCATTTAAGTTCATTTTTTTCCTCAATGTACACACAGCACCCCATACTGACAGATAAACACAGAATTTTTGACATTTTTGCAGATTTATTAAAAAAGAAAAACTGAAATATCACATGGTCATAAGTATTCAGACCCTTTGCTCAGTATTTAGTAGAAGCACCCTTTTGCTAAGTGAAAAACTTGTTGCATCATTAATAAATCTGCAAAAATGTCAAAAATTCTGTGTTTATCTGTCAGTATGGGGTGCTGTGTGTACATTGAGGAAAAAAATGAACTTAAATGATTTTAGCATATGGCTGCAATATAACAAAGAGTGAAAAATTTAAGGGGGTCTGAATACTTTCCGTAGCCACTGTATGAATAAAGAGTTTTTTCAATATGAAAAAAGCTTATATACAGTATAATCAGACACTTATGTACAAAAGCATAAATATATAAATATCTGTGATACAAAAATAAATATTTTCTCGTTTTCTTCTGTTTAACAGTCTTATGCATCTGTTGTGTTGGTTGTTCTTTTGTAATCAGGTGACACTTCAGTTGGGAGGATGTTCACTTCCTGTACTGTTGTGTCTTTAGGTTGTGCTGTTGATGCCGAGGTGCTTAAGATCCCTCCATCGTCTAGAGATAGAAGAGGGAAAGATGCTGGCTCTGCACAGAGAGAGTGAAAGAGAACTGGTCAGAGGTTTTAACGCTGATTTAGTTTAATGTGCAGTGCTTGAAGGAAGCTGATTATAAGGTTTAAAAGATAAAAGAAAAACCAAGATTAGAATATTTCAGTCTTGCGTAGATTTCAAAGGACACTACGCATACTTTGACTGATGTGTCCTGCTTCAATTCCACCACTGAAGTTGCCATCACCTCCCAGTTCCTGTGAACTAATGTGCTGATGGGAAGAGTTGAGGAGCCGAAGTGTGGAGTCATCAGGACATGAAGTATGTTCACGATGATCTGGACCACTAAAGATGATGAGAGAAGAATGACTAATGGCTGCAACTTCTGATTATTGTTGGTGTCAGTTTACAAAATATCAGATTAATGAACAAAATTATCAGATTTACTCCAAGTTCCAGGTGATAAAAAGCTTTTTATGGCTTCTTTTTTGTGTATTTAAACCATCAGGTCAATTTTCAGTGTCAGTTAAATATTGAAAATCTTAGAAAGTCTTTTCCCTGATGGATAGAACGAATTGCATGATTGTCCGTTTCCTGTGTGTGTGTGTGTGTGTGTGTGTTAAATCCGCAAATGTACCTGTTGGAGTAGTGGTAGACAGGAAGATGTCTGTTTGACGCTGACTGTGGTAACAACGTGTCACACTCCGCATCACAGTCCACCTCCTCCTGCAAAACCCAACAGGATAAGAATAAGGATAATGACCTTTATTAGCCAAGTATGTTACACACAAGGAATTTGTTTTCGGTACTAAACCGATGGTGGCCATTTGCGGTGCCACCTCAACCAATGGCTCCCCAACAGCATATCAATCATATTTTCAACACAAATTTAGAATACAAAGGATTTTCTATGCAATAATATTTTGTTAGTATCAG